TTCACATTAGGCCTAGGAAACTGGAAACAAGCACAAGCCAATTGAAAGGCCTAGCTTTCAGATTCACATTAGGCCTAGGAAACTGGAAACAAGCACAAGCCAATTGAAAGGCCTAGCTTTCAGATTCACATTAGGCCTAAGAAACGGGAGACAAGCCAATTGAAAGGCCTAGCTTTCAGATTCACATTAGGCCTAAGAAACGGGAGACAAGCCAATTGAAAGGCCTAGCTTTCAGATTCACATTAGGCCTAGGAAACTGTAAACAAGCACAAGCTAATTGAAAGGCCTAGCTTTCAGATTCACATTAGGCCTAAGAAACTGGAAACAAGCACAAGCCAATTGAAAGGCCTAGCTTTCAGATTCACATTAGGCCTAAGAAACTGGAGACAAGCACAAGCCAATTGAAAGGCCATGCAGTTGGTAAGAGTGGGATATCTGGATAAAATATCCAGGGCTTTTTTTTTTTTCCTGTTATAATGATACTTCTAGACCATTGTCAGCAATTATTTAAAACAGATATGTTCAAAATACTTACTGAACTTCTGTCTCAGCGTTCTTTGGTAGCAACAGTTCCATATTAAAATAGCTACGACCAGAACCACACAAAGACCTAGAGCCCCTACAAAGACATATTGTTCTATGTAAATTCTAAATAATATTGACAGATTTCAAGACACTAAGATTTTGACTTGAAATGGTTAACTATGGATATTTTCTCGAAACATTTTGTTTTGTTTTAAGCGCAAAGCTACACAGTGGGCTATCTTATCTGTGCTATATCAATCGATGGAAATCGAACCTTGAATTTTAGAGTTTTACTTTAAATAAGACGTTTTAAATTTTAAAACAGTAAACTAAAATTTAGTTCCTTGTTTTAATAATTTACTTGAAATTTCTATTACTGTTCACAAAGGCCTAATCGATGGTTAGGTGGCGCTTGACTCGCAATCTGAGGGTCGCGGGTTCGAATCTCTATCACAGCGAATATGTTCGCTCTTTCAGTCGTGAGGGCGTTATAATGTGACGGTCAATCCCACTATTCGTTGGTAAAAGAATAGGCCAAGATTTGGCGGTGGGTGATGTTGAGTAGCTGGCTACCTTCCCTATAGTCTATCACTGCTAAATTAGGGCTGGCTAGCGCAGATAACCCTCGTGTAGCTTTGCGCGAAATTCAGAACAAACCAAACCACTGTCTATAAAAATTAAACGATCAATATTCACTACCGAAGTACTCTATAACAATACTATATTACTGACAGATCAAACATACAGTATATGATACTAAAAGATAACAGATATTTTTTAAGAATAAGTCAGTTGATGAACTGGTTACAATTATTTCAGGCCTAAATTTACAAATGAACACAGTTCCTTTGATACGTAACTTCTCTCACCATTGTAATTGGACAAGATCTTGACCATGGATGACGTAGTGCAATTTCATCATCTTCATGATAAACTAATTCGGTTGCTACTTGTTGCGTCTCTTCTACAATATCGTAGGTATGAGGGGCGATACTTTTATCTCGAGATGTGAGGTATGAGGGCGATACTTATATCTCGAGATGTGAGGTATGAGGGGCGATACTTTTATCTCGAGATGTGAGGTATAAGGGGCGATACTTTTATTTCGAAATGTGAGGTATGAGGGGCGATACTTTCATCTCGAGATGTGAGGTATGAGGGGCGATACTTTCATCTCGAGATGTGAGGTATGAGGGGCGATACTTTTATCTCGAGATGTGAATCAATTTTTAGAATTTCGAGTGAAGAAATGACTATAAAAGCTTTTTTTTTTCGTAGAACTTAACCACAGATAGTGCGATTTCTTGACCAATGTAGACTGCAAAATTTATTCTGATTTAATTAGAAAACATCTCTATGTCTACCACCAGATGGCTACAAACACGTGTACAAGAACATGAAATATTAATTAAGAATAATTTATTGTGAAACGTCACGCTATTGGAGTGACGGAGCAACACACTCCTTCACGCTCAAGATAATCTCCAAACGTAATGTTGAGACAAGTCTAAGCAACAAAGAAACGTTATTTCGTAAAGCAAGGCCTGGATTAAACGGAACTAACTCAACAAACTTACTGTCAAAAAAATATAACTATACAAAATCGTAATTAAAACAAAAATCACATTGTTAATGACTGCGCATGTGCAATATATAAAGGCACTAGGACTAGAACTATAGTTACTGATAAAGTATGATTTCATACACGTCTTGTAACTTATCAGTGGTCTATTTACGTATTATCTAAACAAAGCTGTCGAAACGAGTTATTTCTATTTAATCACTTAGTCTTTTTCAATAGACTCATTGTATATATGTCTCATACAACTTTTTATATGGTCAAATTAGGGCCAAGTAAAAAAAGCGTGTTTAGCGTCTGGAGTTTTCGAAAAAAAGGAGGAAGAGGTCCTTTTTTTTTTAAATGACCTAATTGAAAGGAAGTTTGTAACCTTGTTTTATTATTGTTGCTTGTTTGCAAAGAGTCCATGTCAAACAAAAGTCGTTTTTGTTTCATTTTTTTGCATCAAAACGATACAGAATTTATGCCAAATAAAGAAAAAGGGCAAAATGAACCAACTGTGTTCATTTCATTATTTTTTTTTATTCAGAAACATCTTTGTATAATCTAAAAACGTGGCTGCAAAAAATAAAGCGGGCGGGGTCGTTAAACATGTTTTGTTTTTAATCTATACTAGGCTTAACAAGAGTTTTAAACTTACTAGCCTCTACAAATTGCTATCATTGTTTTATCCTATGTTATCGTTCATTTCAGTTAAATATGACTAATTTTTTCAGATACGTTTTGTTGTTAACTCACAATTTTACGTAAAAAAGTATTGTTAAAATCCATCATTTGTAAAATTTATTACGTTTGGATATTTTTGAATAATAATGTTATCCAAATTGGCATATATTTCTCCTAAAATAAATTTAAATTTTAGAAACTAATTTTCCATAATTTTAAGTCTTATTCATTGTAATTCATAACAAGCTGGAGAAAATTCAGACGTGCCTCCAAATGTTTGTGATATTACCTTGAAAATTATTCACAAAAATGCTTTACTTTTCTCAATATCTAGTAACTTATATTGATAAGAGATGTCACTAGTAGTCTCTAAAGTTTACAAATAATTTCGTATCAACGATTTAAATTGTCATTTATTATCAGCCAACATTAATCACGTGTACATTTTAATTGCTCTGTCAATCTAGGTTAACAATTTTTGTACCACAAATACTGGTAAGTGGAGAATGTTAAGTAATAAACTTAAAATAATTACTTTCATAGACGAGAAAAAGAAAAATTACACGTTTGATTTCCTACCTATGGCTGCACCAAAAAATATCGTGAAATTCTTGTCGAGGTGCCATTTATAAACAACTTGTGGCATTTCTGTTATGTTACCTGCTGTCTGGTCCATGTAGGCCAACATTGTTACGCTTTGTTGGAGATGTACCTGACGAAAACCAGTTCCATTCACACCTGTTTATAACCAAAGAAAATGCAAGGATTGGGCCACACTCTTGGTGAATTTTTACTGAATTTTAGATGAAGGAAAATTCCAGTTCTATACTTAAAGTTCATTATCTTTGGGCAAGTCTGAAAACTACGTATAGGTTACTTATAGTTATTGTCTCTCCAAATCGGCACAAAAGAAGAATTGCCCAAAATTACAACATAAGTAACCTAATCGTAGTTTGACTATCAGTATCATGACTGTACATTACGTGCAACTAAACTAGAGGGTTAAAACGACAAATTACTTAGTTATTTCTAATATAGATATACTCGCCAATTAATAATTTTTTAGTCTTACCAACAAACAAACATACTCACAAGTTCTTAGTTAAAACTGTGAAAAAAAAATAGAAAGTTTATAAAACGTCGAGACAAGCATGTCGGGTATTTATTGATTAAAATATAACGGCATAGCAAACTAGACAACAACAGTTTGTAACGTCCTTTCGCTATTAGGAAAGCTAGGCCTACCTGTGATCGAAAGATCTGAACCAGGTACAACCATGATGTCCGTCGTGTATTAACTTACGCGAGGACTTTCACTGAAGTAAGACCTGTCCGCCTTTAACTCCAAAATCACTAAAGTATGATTCATCTAATTTTCATGTTATGATGCACAACACGCCTGACAGTATCACTTAGAGATATCATCATGTCCAAAACGATATCAGTATCGTCTTGTTCCCGACGATACAGTTAAAACAACGAGCCGTTTCAACCGATCTCCCTTCGGTTCACTATACGTGAAAACTACCGCTACTACGGCACGAGCTTACATAACACATCCGAATAGACGGGGGTGGGAATCAATGCGAGCTGCGAGAATAGAAAAGATAATGTCTCGTGACAGTCTTCTTCATAACGTGCTCGAAGTTTCCAAAACCATGGATGTCACAGTTTTCTGTCACTCGTATTATTAGCGTTTACAGAAGGACTGTCACGGTTGACTTGATGGGGTTTACTAATGAATAAATGTCAGTAGTGCTCTAATCACCTGACAAGCGAACGTATTTAGTGCGTCGAAGTCAGTTGTGTTCTGAAACAAGGACATAAAAAGAATCAATAAGATATACTCTCCAGTGACACTTGTACAGCACTTACACCGTACAGCCAACGATAACACAGTTGTCAAATACAAAACTATATGTATATATATAATCAATAACGATAACTTTTGATGGTGGGGACGGTCGTGGCCAATCCGATATCGTACCAGGCTGCAGTTCGAAGGACGAAAGATTAGCTCCGTGATGCCGCTGAACGTGCATCCCAATTTTAACTGTAGGTGCGTTATAAGTGTGACAGTTAATCTCGCTATTCGATGTACAGTTGCTCATTGGCTGGCTGCCTTAACTCTGGGCAGTAGTTCCAAATTAGGAACGGTTGTGTCTAACACCGAGGGTCTTTTACCAATCTGTGTAGCTCATATATGCATAAGGTTGACTAGGGTTGAATTATCAACTTATAATATGGACCATATAAACCATGAAAGTGCACCAGAAATGTTGTCCTTTAACATTAAGTGCTATCAGCAGAGGGATATTCTATTACATAAATAGCTTCGAACAGATCACAAACCTAGTAGGTAAAATGTTGACTGTTAATACGACACCAGTATCTTAGTCAGTAAAGAGAGTTGTGTAATATAATAGTCAACATTTTAATGTGTGTATTGTTACGTCTCTGTTCGTTTGTTAATTTCCCGTAGAAATTCTTCCCGAGAAACTTCAGCGATACAAATCCTTTCTTAAATAAAACTAGTTTATTCTTTCTCAATACAACTTTGCAATACACTTAATTTCCACACTTAAACACACGCTATAATTCACAACGAACGATTCACGCACTTTACTTACTACCGCGCTTGACTCAGTTGTCCGTCTCTATCTGTCTGCAATTCAATTCCGATTCATTGCCTGGCGCACTTATATACAAGAATACAGCACTTCTCGCAAACACTCGAGCATTCACGAACCTTCGAGAATATCATGACGTGTTATTAGAGTCACGTGACTTCCGCTGTCGTAACAGTATGATTACAAAACGTAAATGCTAAACCTCTCGGTGAACTCTAATTCTTCTATAAGTTACCATGCCTTCAACTTGATTTACTTAGGATTACCTATGACGTAGTGTGCGACTGTGTTGCCTTCAGCTAGGATAATAAGTTTACTTAAAATTAACAATGACGTATGAGGCCTTTCACTGTATTTACTTAGAACTATTTATGACGCACCAAGCCTTTATATTCATTTGGGCCTATCTATGACCTAACAGGCCTTCAACTGGATTTACTTAGGACTATCTGTGACGCACCGTACCTTCAACTGGATTTACTTAAGACTATTTATGAAGTACCAGGCCTTCAACTGGCTTAATTAGGACTATCTATGACGTACCATGCCTTCAGCTGAATTTACCTAGGGTTTTCTGTGACGTACCAGGCCTTCAACTGGAATTACTTAGGACTGTCTATGACACACCGTGCCTTTAGTTGTATTCACCTAGGACTATACGTGAGGCTTTCAACTGGAATGATTTAGGACAATATGTAAAAAACATATTTTAACTCGATTCTAATCAGGTTTACTTTTAGTTTCTTTGAGATTTTACGGTTTAAACTTCATAACGTAAAAATGCGAAGCCACAACTATATTGTGACTTTCATGGGGGGGGGGGGGACATGTATGTAGGGGATCAGCTTTTACAGTGTGTAAGTCAACAGACTAAAAGAATATGTACCTGATGATGTTGAAACGTTGTACATTTGCTGTTATGTTAAACTTATATTAAAGTATTAAAGTTTTTCTTTATTACCCATTCAAGCCATCTCCAACCATTATTAGTCTCAAAGTGGGTTCCTCGTCATCGAATTTAAAATAACGTGTTACGCGTGCTTGAATGCTAAAAAAAAATGTACAACTTTAATAAAAATTACTAAAGATATTTACATTAACTACGATGTTAAGTTTACATCATAATAGGTAAAATTTTTTGGGAAATGTAAGGGAGGGCAAATGCCCCCTCTTGCCCCTTCCAGCTGGTGCCCATGGTAACTTGTAAAATATAATGACATGGTGCTACAATGTGTGAATGATATCACTAAATTTTACAGATAATAGTCTCGTTCTCCGGATCGGGATTTAGGTCGTTTTTATGACCTGGGAGGGTCAGGTTCAGGTAGACCTCTTCCTCCCTTCTGTACAGTTTTTCTTTGATTCAGGTTTTTTGGTTGGCTGGTTTGATATGGGGTTGATGATTTCTGTTAGTACTTTCCTTTTCAGGGCCATGTCCGTTTTATGTTATCAAGTTGTGTATGTGTGTATTGCCCTTTTCTTGGGTGTTAGTGTACTTTGGGTCTATAGTAGAAGTAGTAAGTGTGGTAATAATGGTAGTAGTTCTTGTGCTGCTGTTTTTGTGATTATTGTGAATACATCGTCTTCGTTTTGAGGGCTGTTATATTTTTCCACGATTATTTTGAATATGTTTTTGATTGTCTCTATTACTTTGTTTATGAATTCCTGTGTTTTAGGAAGTGTAGCTATAGGTATCTTTCTATTTGTTTGTTTGTTTTGAATTTCGCGCAAAGCTACTCGAGGGCTATCTGCGTTAGCCGTCCCTAATTTAGCAGTGATAGACTAGAGGGAAGGCAGCTAGTCATCACCGCCACCACCAACTGTTGGGCTACTCTTTTACCAATGAATAGTGGGATTGACCATCACATTATAACGCCTCCACGGCTGAAAGGGCATGTTTGGTGGAATGGGGATCCGAACCCA